TTAGATAAAATTTCATGTAAAGAGATGCCATGGCTAAATGCCTTAAATGCAAAGAGATGATTGAGAAGGGATTTTTGTCATGTGGGCCCAAATTGGGCTTTTAAAGTTGATCCCATTGGCTTTTAAAAATCATTTATGAAAATGGGCTTTTAAAGTATGCATGAAGGATCTAAATTGAAATTAATCATGGGCTAATCAAATTGTGCTTGGGTTTGATTGAAATTGAGTTTGAACTTTGAAATTGGGTAGGCTAGAAGTGAATTGGATGAAAATTGGGGGGCAATTTGATCAATTGGGTGCACATGGGGGGTTTTGGGACTTTAGGGGCAAAATTAAGATTTTGGTTAAAATTGGTCAATTTGGTCCCATTGGGTGGGTGGCTGGGATTGGTTTAGAGGAGGTTTTTGGAATTTTTTGGGATGTGAAGGGTATTTTGGTAATTTTTACAAATTTGGGGGTATTTTAAGAATTTTGGAAAATTTGAGGTGTTTTGGTCAATTTGGATGGTTTAGAATGGTTGACATGATTTTTGGTGAAAATCGATAATTTGAGTCATTTTTGGAATTTTTAGGGTTCTAGGGTCAATTTGGTAATTTTGAAAAAGTTCAGGGTTAAAAGTCCAAAATTGGTTATTTGGGTAGGATTTAGGGTATGGGGGTATTTGGTCATGGGTCTTAGCCATACTTAACCACCTTGGGACCAAACTTAACTAAATGACAACCTCTTATGAACCTTCACATATTGATCCTAGCCATCTCAACCAAATGCAGGCCAGAGGCTTGGAACTATCTATGTGAGTTTCTTAAAGAGTAAGGGAGGTTGGTTTAATGGGTGTGATTTAGGGTTTTGGGACAAGTGGGAAGTAGTCATGTGCTTGAGTGTGTGAAATACCAAACCTTAGCCACCCAGGTTGTCCTAAGTCCAACAACCCTATGGGGATTCATCCTTTGAATCCTCACACATTGGTCTTAACCTTCCAAGTGCTAGAGATTCATGATTGTCCATGTAGATTTCAAAGAGAGTAAAGATGTGGTTTGAATTTCTATGCAGGTGGGCTCAATATCTAGTCTTTTAAGATAATCAAAAAAAAGTTTTATGACTAGATCCTAAGCACTAAGAGGAAGGAAAGACCTCACCAAAATCGAGGTCAACAAAATTGTAAGGTTGTCAAGTCCAAATAAAATTCACGAGCCAGTTCAGGCTTAACTCGATAAGTGGCTCACGAGCCAAACTCGATGAGATAATAAGTCAAGCTCAAGCCAAACCCAACTCGACTTATTTGCTTGTCAACATACTCATTTAATAAAATATTAAATATATTAAATTTAAAGACTTTATCTTTAAATTAATAAATTTATTTTAAAAATAATATTTTATATTTTATAATATTTTTTAATATTATTTATCTCTTAATTACTCATTATATTTGTCATTTTGTTATAATACTAATTTAAATTAGTATTATTTTTTTCTCTTCTATAATATATAAGTTCGCTCATGAGCTGACTCGAGTTTGTAGAGTTAAGTTCAAACTCGACTAATTAATTAAGCTCCATCTCAAGTAGACGGTGATCGAACTCAACTTGACTCATTTAAATTCCTAATTCTAGAGAAAGGAGCTAAAGATAGCTGACAGAGCGCCTCAAAAGCGGACGTTGAATGTCCCAATGTTGTACATAGAGTGTTACAACGCGATGACCCGACAAAAATAATTATTCACTTTGAAAAAAATTTAATTGGGGAATTCTAGATAGAGGCCTAACAGACAAAATATATAAAAGAGTAGTGTATTGGAAATTAGCCTGGGTGTATGCATTTGTGTGTGTGAAGTTGAGCGAAGAGTGTATTTTGCATGTGTGTGTGTGATTGAGTAAGGGAAGATTGCCACTTGGCCTGGTAAATAAAATAAGAACTTGGAGAGAGCTATTTCAATCCACAACTCTTTGAAATCTTGGTTCTTTTATATTTGGCTTTCCTCTCAGTTGAATTTTATTAAATATTTTTAAAACTATGGTAAAATGAAAGGATTATTCTGTTTTGATTGTAAAAGCATGTCCAATATCTTTAAAAATTTTGGTAGATGTTTTATTTTTTGAATTTTTAATTTATATGTCAAATTATGTGGACATGCTCTTATAATGTGTTGAATTTAATTGTTTGTTTGTGTGACTTCCAACTTAATTTAGCAATATTGATGATTACACTCTTGTTTAATATTTACTATAGGTTAACAATATCGATAGAGTCTTAATCTGCCCAAAAAAGGATTTATAAATAGGGTTTGAAAAAATAAACATATTGCTTTTGAACCATATTATATATTTAGGGAAATAAAAAAAATTTGATTTTAAATCCACTAATTGTATAGACATATAACATTAAGGATTTTAAAATTTGAGTTTCTGGTTATGAGCGAAGGTTAAAAATAATTTTTGTTCTTAATTTAAAGAAATATTTTAAATGAAATTTATATCTTATAAATTTGATAATATATATTGAAAATTCAAAGGAACTTCATAATTTAATATTTTTTATCATTTTAGAAACCCCAAAGTCGTTCGTTGAGAAATTCAAGTTTTTGATATAAATTTTGTTTAATAGTTAGTATTTAAACTTCATTTTTAAAAGCTAAAATTTATGTTCATGATAATAATCTCGTACTCAAACACAAATATTGTTTGGTTCATACATGCACTTGCTTTTAGTGCACTCAATGAGTCTTGTTAGGTATTGGTGCCTCTCTTAGTCTCCTTTACCCTTAAAATGTTAAAATCATCATGATACCAAAGTTTTCATGCTCAATATCCAAAGCACTTGAGTGGGTCTCTTTTAACAAATAAGAGAGCTAAGATTATGATAATGCTTATTGGGATATTATTGAAGAAGGTGAAGATGCATTAATAGAAATAGTTTGGTCAATGGTAATTCATGGTTGTCTTGAAGTTCAATATTCAAATTGCTCTCGATACACTTTATTTAATTATTTTATTTTTCTTATTTTCCTCAAAAAAGCACTCATACTCATTGGTTAACTTAATAATTTTCACAACTGATTAACTTTTTTTTGCTATAAATGGTTGTGATCCCCCAAGACATTAAAGTTATTTATTAGACAATCACTTCCTCATCTTGTATGCATCTATCTACTTATTCTACTTATGTCAACCATCTTTTTAGCTAGGGAAAATGGCGGGGAGCATTTGACAATTGGATCAAAATCTCTTTTTATGGTCCTATAAATTTTTTTGCTACATCTAGACTTAAATAACTATATTATAATGCTACTATTTTCTTTACATTATCACCTTCCTTAATTTTTGATTGCTTTGCTAGAAATTATAGAAAAGACATCAGGAATAGGGTTGACATTTAATCAACCTCCTTTATTTTAACTAACTACTCTTTATCCATTTCCTTAGTCTTATGCCCAACACGCCCTTTAACTCCACCATCTATGTGCTATTGTGTTTCCTCTATAGCAGGCACAATAATAAACTTTTTTTCAAAACCTCTTTACTTTTATTTTTTTGTCTGTCATTGTTATAAACCTAATTAACAATGTGGTGTCGTCTTTACTAAGAATCTCATCAGTCAACTCTATAACTTTCAACTAATTGCATTTGATATCTACCATCATCATTATGATCTATGTCTCTTAATTAAGAGCCTAATCACATAATTGCGTAACAACACTAGATATAATGTCTAAGTAAGCACTTTTGTAACCTTCATAGTTGTTGAAGTAGTCACAGTGACTACATTTTGAGGTTACTCTTACCTCTAGGCATTCCATTTCTTGAAGAGGTCCTTCTTTAAGTGCTTCATGGAGCTCTATAAATAAAGGAATATTCTTTAGCAAACACGGGTGCACAAGTTTGAAGAAGAACATGATATTTTAAAAATGTATGGACCACACAATATTCTATGCAACTGCCATAATTCATATGTATACCAAAATAATGACCACTGCACCAAACCCTGATAGATATCACATTAACAAAAGTTTTCTTATAAAAATCTTATCTCAAAAGGATTCTCTGAAAAACACTAAACCTAATAATTCTTCTTAAGTTCTCTTATGGGATTTTTGAGCTTTAAGTCATAAGTGTATGGCTTTGAACATGTCACATTTCAAGGAAGAACCAAATCCCTAACTAGTGCAATTATAACAATATCCATTATTAGGGCTGTAAACGAGCTGAGCTTGAGCGAGCTCTGGCTTGACTCATGTTCGGCTCGTTCAAAATAGCTCATGTTCGAAATCGGCTCGTGTTCGAAATCGGCTCGTGAATAGTGTGTTCGTGTTCGACTCGATTTAAATATTCGTGTTCGTGTTCAGCTTGTGTTCGGCTCGAAATTGACTCGTTAAACTAAAATTGGGAAAAATAGATGTAAAATGTGAGATTCGAACCTGGATCAAATATATACCGAAGAAGACACTAACCAAATTATCACATGAGGTGTTATGATTTAAACTTAAACATAAATATATATAATATATTATTATATAAATAATATATGTAATATATTGTTATATAAAAATTTATATATAGTTTTTTTTTCGAGTCATTTCGAGCCGAACACGAGCGAACAAACTGTTGTTCGTGTTCGACTCGTTTACATTTCAAGCTTAAAAATTTGTTCATGTTCGGCTCGTTTGAGCCGAACACGAGCTGTTCACGAACAACAAGTCAAATTGACAGCCATATCCATTATTACTATTTACACTATTAAAAATATTGAAATTAAAGAGAATTAATTTTAAATACTAGACAACTTAAAATATTTAAAATTATAAGATTACAATATTCTTTAAAAATAATTTAAAAGCATTTAAATAGATAAAAAAAATCAATTTACAAATATTTCATTTAAAAAAAAAAGTGAAAAAAAAGTTAACTAGTATGGCATTCTAGAAATATTTAAGAAGATCTAGGGCTTCTTGATAGTCGGGTACTCTCCGCTAGCTCTTCAAGGCGTTCCAATCTTCCCTTTTCCGTGTCGTGGGCTTTTAAAGCGTATCCGAGCAGTCCTTTTCAAGCTCCCTGATTCCAAGCTCCCGTCTTCTCCCACTGTCAAGTCTTCGGAGAGCCGGATCGGAGCGATCTCCACAGCGAGATCTCCTGTCCTTCTCTCTCTCTCCGTTGCTCCACGTTCTTTGATCACTTTCCTGGAGATGGGGTTCGTCTCGTTTGCGGGGCGGGTGCTTTTCGCCTCCATTTTTCTTCTTTCAGCGTACCAGGAGTAAGCTCATCATCATCAGTCCTCTATGTCTAGATTTCTGGCCTCGCAAAGTTTCTTCTTTGTGTTGGATCTGTGCTTGGAACCCGCTTAGTTGATTTAGGGTTTTGGTTTAATCGGTTTCCTGGATTTTAGGATGTTTGTTCCCGTTTCTTTTGCTTGGATCGGTTGTAGAGCGGGCGTTTGGCCGGTTTTTGTTTTGAATGATAGGGCGGGAGGATTTTGTTGGAGTTTAGTTGAAGTTTGTATTTTGGCTTGGATCTATTTTGAATTGTCTGGTTGAAGCGGCAGTTTGGGCCCTTCTATGTAAGGGTTGACCGTTTTACAGAAAGCTAGTTTTGATTTTAGATCTGAGAGTTATTTCTAGGCAGCTTATTTGTTTGAATTAACGGGAAGTGATGGGTGATAGCAATGAATTAATGCTAAGTCCTTAACATTTATGTATTGGATGATAATTTGTGATTGAATGGGGATCTCACTTCCTTTGTATTTACAGGTTGTGCACTTTGCATTTATACCACCTAAATATTCCATATCACATCAAAAATACCATCATTTTCACTTAAAAAAAAAAGTGAAATACACCTTCTCATTCATAGGTAGGTGGTTTGTGTGTAAAAAAGGAAGTTTAGGGTTTATATATGTAAATGCATAGGAATTGAGTGGTATGTATGTAAATCTTCCATTTTTATATGTTGGCTGATAATATGAGACTATAGGGCCTTTACTTTTTGTGAGATTCATTAATACGTTCTGTATTTCTTTCGCTGGGTTATTTTTTTGTACATTTTATAGCGGGGATTGTATGAGCATCTTGCTACCATAATTTATCAAAAGCCTCATTTTTCAAGTGTATACTTGCTATTATTGAACCAACACTCTCATGATATGATATTTTTTTTACTGAATGTTAACCTAGAGCAGTTATCTTTTCATTGAGTTAACATTTTGTTTTAAAAAAATTTTTTTTTTTTGAGTGACTTTGAAAAGGCTGATGGTTTGAGATCTCATTCTCTTCCTTCAGTCTTCATTTGTGAGTACACTCTGCATTCTGTTTTCACCCGAAGCCATTGGCCTTTGAATTTGAGTGCTATCTCATCTTACCTATCCTAAACTCATAGTAGCAAACATGAACAAAGAAGCGTTTTTTCAACTTCTTAAAATATAGTTTTCTTTAAATTCTTTCCTACAAGTGTGCAATGGTAGACCTGGACTTCTTTTAAGAGTCCTGTGGCTTGTGTAATTTATTAGGAAGGAGGGGAGGGTGTGATTCTAAACAAATGGTGGAAATGCTTAAAAGGTATTCTTCTAAAAAATATGTAATTCAAACGTGACACTTTATTTTTATTTTTATTTTTTAAAATATTTTTCTATCTCCAAGCAAAATAAATCTGCTAAGATGCTGGATTGTCTGAAAATTGATGGATATATGTAGGATTGTAGTTCTTAATATTTTACCACCCAAGACTCTCTTTGTTTCTCAGTATTTTCTTATTTGAGGCTTTTAGCATCCTCTCAAATCTTGCTACCATTTTTTTGTATTTTTTTGGCTCAATTAAATGCAATATCATATGAAGGGAGGGCTGAGTTATTTTTTTTTTCTTTCCATGGTCATTTGTATTTCCTTGTTGGGGCATTTACATGCATGGTACACAATGCTTATGTTTTTACATATCTACACCTGAATTTTCATATTTACACACATAGCACTCAAATCTTTAATATCACATAAAAAATAGCTTTGTTGCCCCTTTTTTAAAAGTGAAATGCACCTTTTCATGCATATTTTTAAAGCACCAAAGTGCTATGTATGTAGATATGAAGCTTAGGCGTGAGATATATAACTATAAAAGAATTGTGCGCTATGTATGTAAATTTCCCTTTTTTGTTTTATACTCCCTTAATGTGATGAAGCTATATAAGAATTGTGCCCTATGTATGTAAATATCCCTTTCTTGTTTTATACTCCCTTAATGTGATGAAGCTTTACCAATTTTTTCTACTTAACCTTGTTATCCTATATGAACTCTAAAAATATGTTTCCTTGTTCCTTTTATCTCATTCAACATAGGACCAATGTTGTCATAAATGTAAAATGACCTATGGAAGATTTTGCTATTCACTGTGTAAGGTTTTATGTGCTTTCCCAAGTGAACTGTGGCACCAAATGATATGGAGCTGCTATTTTTTAATTCATTTAGCTGATAATTTTTTTTAATCACAAAATAATAATCATTACATAAAATTATGTTAGGTGATATGGCGAATCATTTGGTTTCGTTGCATTCAAAATTATTGCTAAATTAAGTTCCTTAAAATAATGCACTTAAAAGCTGTTTAATTATTTTAAGTTAATTAGCCAACTTATGTTTGTAGAATGGATAGTTTTGAGATAATCTAATCTTTGCTTCTGTTTATTCCATACTTCTCATTATACATGCTATCTTCATCTCTGACTTTCCATCTTCTCAAACACATTCTTTTCATCCACTAGAATTATGACTTTTGAACTGGAACCCCTTGCACCACATTGGTTGTTTGTTGCCATTGCTGATTCTCTTTCCACATTAACACATACCAAGTTATTATCATAAAAAAATACATCTTCAGTTTTAAGTTTTGACAGCCATCTTTCCCAGTAGGGAAATTTACATACCTGACACACAATTCTTACGAATTTACATTTCTCACTTTGGCGCTCTAAACCTATGTATGAAAAATGTATTTCATTTTTAAAAAGCGGTAATAGTGCTATTTTAGATATGTTACTAAAGATTTGATTGTTACATGTGTAAATATGAAAGTAATATGAAAGTTTAGGTGTGAGATGTGTAAATATGAAAGTTTAGGTGTTATAATTTGAAATGGTTACAACACCATAATATTGGCGCCATCTTGGAAGTTATGTGAATAATTTTGGCCTCACCTAGCCTTGCTCGGGCACTAAGATGAGCATTCGACTTGAGGTTAATAACACTATAGAGAACAAAGTGATAACCATACGGACGGACATTCTCTTGAAATTTTTTTATTTTTTAATGATTTTGGCGATTTTCAGTTTTTTAGTAATTTAGCATAGCATGGCATGTATAGCTAAATTTGTTTGTGTGTGTGTGTGTGTGTTTTTTTTTATTTTTTATTCTATTGATAATGGAACATCGATGTCCATGAATATGTAGTAATCATTATTTATTTGCCTTAGCAAGTTGGACTGCAATTGTTGCTCCTTTTGCTGCTGCTGCTAAGCAATTGATAACTTTTTGCCCCCGCATGTTCCTAATAACAATATTGTTGCCATTTTAGGATTATTTCTGTTATCCCAAATAATGCTTTTGGTCAATTTAATTTTATTTCCTTTAGGCAATTATTTAATTTCTCGATGAGTTTAAAGATTGTGAATTTTTTAGTAATTGAAGTGCATTTCCCTGACAATTTAAGTCCAATGAAGCTCGAGTGTTCAACTAAGTATTCAAATTTTTATTAATAGTTTTGATTCTTCTTCCTCGTACCTCAAGTGATAGCAAAGGGAAAAAATGGTGCATAGTGGGTGAGTGAGTAAATTATAGTAAGTATTACGATCATATGATGAGAGAAAAAGAATGAAAAAGGGAGTGGAAGATCAGTAAATAGTATTAAAGCTAAGCTTTTTTAATTTCACTACCAAAAAAAAAAAATCAAAAGTTCTGTGATAAATTGTTTGTTGAAATGTTTGTTATTGTGCTTCATATAAGTTGTTTGTCCATAAAACATTTCATTTAATCACATACAAAAATATACAAAGGGCGAAGGCGCTCTGTGCCATTTTTTCTAATTCTTTTAATAGAGATGATTTGCACTCACATTTTGGTTTAATTGCATTTTAATCATATAGACAAAACACTTAACCTAGTAGCTTTAACAAGGCAAGTTGAGGCTAAAAAAGCAGAAGTAGAATGTTAAATTCGTTGTTGTGATCCATGCCACTATGCTTCATCGATTTGTTTGTCCATAATCAATAACATCTCATTGCAGGCCAAAGGAAGAAAAAAGGTACAGTTTGCTTTGCACCATTTATTTCTCTTCCTTTTTGGAGAGATGATTTATATTTATCATATTGAGCAATTCATATTTTAAGTTTTTATTGTTATTCATTATTTTTTATGATGTGTTAAATGATGTTGATGATGAAAAGGCACTTGACTGGTTGTTCGAGCAAGGAAATGTGTGGTTATAGCTTCTCAGATACTTTTGAGGCCGATACCATTTCTAAGGCACCTACATTTTATCCATTTGACCTTAGCTATAAAAATTATATACTCGTCTTTATCTCCATTATTTTGTACAATGGATCTATAATACCTAGCTTATAACACCTAGATATAATTATCGTCTAATAATATTAATTAATAATGGCTAAGATCAGACTCCCCTAAAATATATACCATTTGTTCAATCTTTATTTAATTAATTTTAACCGCTCTATCTTTTAAAGATTTTCATTCATTGCGTTGAATTTTGACTTTAGTTGGTTTCTCACTGATTAGGAAGGTACAAAAGCATATATCAAGGCACCTTACTTTGATTATGCTTTATGAGCATTTTCATAGTTAATGCAAAATCATATGGAGTAAATCCTGATCCTTGATGTAAATCTATTGTACTATTGAACTCTTTGATCACTCTTCAATTGCCTATAAAACTAATATAACTGAACCTTATGCATATCTTTAATAACTTTAACATGCTTTTGATATCTTTCTTGCATAATGCAAACCAATTTATTCGCTCAACTCAATCATATATTTTTTCAAGATTAATAGAAATCATATTATGACTATCAATTATTTATATATATATTTTTTCATTAGTTGTTTTAATACAAAATGTTTTCATACTAGATCTTGTTGGGAAATGCTGATTAATTCTAATAAAATGATAAAATTTTTTTGTGTTCCATTTTTTCTTTTGTAGCCTCATTGCATGATTCATAGGTTTGATACCTTTATAAATAACGTTGAACATCTACTTTGTGGTTCAATAATGTTATTGAAACTTTTGTTCTTTGATCTTTTGACATACTTTCTTAAAAATTTCATCAAAAATATTAATGCCCAAACCAAAAGAGTGTGCCTTCTTTTGTAGCCTCATTGCATGATTCATAATTTTGCCTTGATTTATCTTATTTATAGCAAGTCTCATTTATTTATTTTTGATTAATTTATAATCTACCTTATTTTATTCATTATACTTTTCCCTACTACTTCCATTACTCAAGCTCTCGTTTATAATTGTTTGAAGTAACATTTTTATCTTTCCTTGATGGCTTCATCATTAATTAAGATCTTATTCTCTGCTTTTAATACATTTGGTTTGATCAATGTTTTTAGCACTCTTAGCTCTGCCTTATGGATTTGTTTTTTCGTTCAGTATTAAGCCTTTTATTATTAATTGTTAAAATTTATATATTTTGCCATTCTCTTTACCCTCTCTGAAGTTTTCTTGTAGTTATTCTAAGCTTTGATAGTTTTAATTTTTTTTACCGTTATGTAGAAAGTACTTTTTTTCATCTATAATTACTTTTAGTATCTTCTTATTCCAATAAGTCTCATGACTCTTTTTAGACTTGATTAAAATCGCTACGATAGTCTTATTAATAGAACTAGCCCTCTTATCATAGGTTATGCTTTATTGAAGTATTTTTATTTACCCCTTTTAACGGCCTTTCTTTAAATATTATAATTTATAACTATTAAATTCTTCCACATTATTTATATTATTATTATTATTTTTATATTCTTAAAATAAACATATATTTTATATTATGTAGTCAAACATTCTGGGAATAACCATGCAATATTTGCAAAATGTTTTTCTTTCCTCCTAGCAGGAATAAATTGTTTATGATTTGCTGGCTCTATTTTTGAAAGTAACTAAGTGCTTGTCTTAATCTTTATGTGTATGTTATTGCAAGATTTCAAGCTTTTGAAAATTTAAATTTAGAGGCTGTTCGGTATTATTTTTGTTTTTCTTTTCTATTTTGCATTTTAATTTTATTTTGTTTGTGTTTTGATTTGAAATAAAACATGCCTGCTATGTTGAAAATAAATTATATTGTTTTTTAAAAAATACACTCAAATTATTTTTTAGTTATTTGAGTGTTTTAAAAGATAATTTGATTTATTAAAGAAAAGGGAAAAATACAGTAAACACAGTTGATCACAACCAGTCTCTTTATGTTTTTGTGGTTTTACTAGAACTTATACAATTATTTAAGTGTGCACCAACAAATATTACTTTCATAGGTATACATTGTAGCAGTTTATCCATCTCTTCTCAAAATTGAATTTTTATATATTCTTTTAATGTAAGTTAGGCTGCATAACGACTAAAAATATTTATAATATTAATAATTGTCATAACCAAAATCAACCTATCAATAACTCTATTTACTTTAACAATCTTATCATTTTAAATATTTATTTGCTACAATCTCAACCCTATTTCTATTATTAATATTTCCTTAGAAAATGATTAATAATTTGTTTTGTTTTTTTTTATTTTTTTAACTTATAAAAAATAAATTTTTATTTTTTTAGGGGTTTGGTTTACTAAAAATGAAGTAAAAATGTAAAAGTTTTGCAGAGTAATGTTATTACAATATATTTGAAATACTTTATGGTTATTTGATTCACTGTAAAATAAGTGCTGGATTTTATATTTTTTTATTTGGTTTGAAGTAGATAAAAATAATGCAATGATTTTTTGGGAATCGGAGGGTAGTGGAGGAGGGCCGGCGGCGGTAGGTGGGAAGCTGCCGACGGTAGGGGTTGGTGACGGGCGATAGTTTGCCGATAGTATTTTATAGTGTAATTCAAATTCGGTCAAATTGACCAAAATTCTAAATTCAGCCAAAATAAACTAATGGTGAACTTTAAATTCTTTCAAACTTTTTATTGTACTTGTACTTCTTCATACCAAACAAATAATTCCTTAAATCTCTGCCAATGAATTGTAGTACACCACAAATCTTTCTAACCAAACAACCCCTTAGTCACTTCATGCACCAATTCTCTTTCCCATCCAAATTTTCTAAAATTTGTGCAAATTTCTATTAGTTTTAGGCCTAGTTGGCCTTTACTTTTTTTCTTTAACAACAATCAAGTTAGAATTATTGGTGATGCTTCGCCAAACCCTTTATTTCCATCATAATTGTATCATGTCACTTCCTTGGAGCATCTTAGTACTAGTGAATTTCAAATTTGAGTTCATTTAATTAATTTTGGCACAAAATCATTGAGTAAAATTCTTATTTGGAGTGGGGTATGAGTAGCTTATTGTCCCCTTTCACCACCAAATTTGCAGGCAAGAACAATACATGATTTGATGTGTCGATTAAGGAGAGATTTACTGTAAATTACTTAATTTTTAGAATTTAGTATATAGTAAATTAACTAGTGATCTTATTGTTTACTTTTTGAAAATATATTACTAGTTAGGGTGAAGTGGTTGCTTGGTACTTGATTGCTTAAAATTTTTGTTTGGTGCTGTGATTAATATTTAATTAGTCAACTAGTGTTCACTATAGAATTGTTAAACTACTATTAGGAGCATACATACTAATTTGATCGTAATATTTTACTTGAAAATTGTACTAATTCCTAAAAACTATACCGAATGCAGACAAATTGATTGGCATATTTACTGTTTTATAGAAGTGAGATGCCAATTAAGAAGTTCAACTTTATCTCCTTAACAAAATTTATACTTCTAATATAACGAAAGGATGTTCTTCATATCAGCTGTAACAATACCACATATCAATTAGACTCACCTGGGGTTACATGTATCCTATGTTAGCAGTCAATAACTAACTACAGCTTTTCTAGAATCTTCAGTTCTCTAGTATATATATGCAAAGCTTACTGTTCACGGTTAGTATGGATACAAAATCAGATATAGAAATTCCTCCTCTCTTGGTAGAAGCAATTTTCCTGGTCATAGTCTCTTTGGTAGCAGAGCCTTCTTCTTACAGCCGTAAGTAAATTGATAACCCTAAATCCACGATTCTTTTTGGCCATGGAAGAATCCATCACTGCCAATTCCCAATTTTTGACTCTACCGATACCTAACACCAGTATTCTTTCCTCTTTAAAGCTCCTACTCTCTCATCTCAAGAAATTCACTCAAAATCAGCCCGCTACAGAGAATTGTCATGTGCGATGATCACAATTTCTTAATGTTTTCATGGCAAATGGATTTACTGAATTTCTAGAGGGGAGCTGTCCATGTCCTGCAGCTACAAACAATCAGTTTCATATGTGGAATTTGATTGATCAGAATTTGATTGCATCACTTTATCCTTCATTTCGGCAACTGTTCTACCATATCTTCTCAATCTACCCACAACAGCTGCTACATGGACAAAAATTTGGAGCCATTTGCTGGATTTTAATCTCTCTCTCTCTCTCCTTCCATTTCATTTCTTTTGCTAATATCCCTTTTTAATAGATAATCTGTCATCTTTGTGTTTTATTCTATCCGGCTATATTGTTGTTTTTTGATTTATTCAATTTGTGATATTTTGTGTATTTGAGTAGAAATTCTTTCTTGTATTTTGTATCCTGATGGAAATATGAAGGTTTTTGCTATTGAAAACTATATTATATGAAATATTATTTTGTGAATTTTAATATTTATCTAGTTTTTTGTATTGATTCTGCTGAATATGTAAACTTATTAAATTTTTAGTATTTTTTCTTTCATTAATTACCTTATCTTTGTGGCATGCTATGAGATTACTTCAATACATCATTTTTTATTTCCATATCTCCAACCTTTTTATGTGAATGAATTATGCTATGTTTGACCTTCATATTAATGCCTATTATATATCATGAGAAACTACAGTTTGAAATTGTTTTGTGAATTTTAAAATCTAGATTGTGTGAAATATGTTGCAAATATTAAAATTATAAGTTATTTTCGTATTGGGATTATATTTAGGTGTTTTTGCATCTGCTAACATTTATAGTATAAAATTATCTTATTAGCGTATTGAGATGCTTAGATGTCGTTTATCTTTTCGCCGAAATGAAAATTAAAAAGAAATTATAACCATAATTGATCAATCCACATTTAAAGAACATGTTACATTTATTTTCAGGATTATTGAATTTGGAAACGACGGTGGACCGGCGGCAAAGGCACTCAGGCCCAAGTTCAACCAATTGACAAGGCATGTGGCTTCACACTTGGGAGTAGTAGCGCCGCATATTGATGTGAGTGAGTTCTCTTATGATTTTTGTAGCTCATCGTAACATCTGTGTTTTGTCTTTTATAAATGATCAGAATTTTTGCATTTTCATAAATATGCAATGCCTAGCATTTTTATTTTTTATTTTGTAGATGAAGCATGTTATTGCCACTACCATAGCTCTTAAAGGGCTTGGGGGCCTTCTGTTCATCTTCAGCAGCACTTTTGGAGCTTATCTTCTTGTATGTTTACTCCTCCCCTCCCTCTCCCTCTTGTTCTGAAGATATTATGAAAAAGTAAGATTTTTTGGGGCATTTGTATACATACCACCCAGATCTTATGTATATACATGTCTCACACCTAAATTTTGTTTTTTACAATTATGGCCCGCCCAAATCTTTCATATCATGTAAAAAATATGAACTTTTAAAAAAGTGAAAAAACCCAGGTAGGTGGCATATATGTGAAGATTGAAGTTTAGGTCTTAGATATGAAATACATAAGAATTCAGCGGTATGTATGTAAATCTTCTAAGGTTTTTTTTTAATGCCATGAATATTAATTTTTTCATCATCAATTGTACATTGTACATTTTTCTGATTTACCTCTACTTTACAGACGGTTACTTGTTAATTGCATTGTTAATGAATGTAATTTTGCATGTTCCATTTATTATCTATCTTGTAGAACTTAACTAATACGAAGTGAAAACATTGACATTGTTAGTATAGAAGCATATGCACTTTGGATGGCTTCTTTATTTGCTTAAACAGGTTTAATTTTTTTAACTTGGCTTCGAGTTCTCCTCACTTTCCCGGCTAAATGTGGCCGTTTTTTTTTTTTTTTTTTGGTTTCCTATGTTCAATATAAATATCTGTGGCACAATAGAACTATTTCGCTTTCTAGTTACAGTTTTTTTCTTTTTTTGTACCTTCCATGGCATCATTTTCTTGGCAAATGAATTTCTATTTGGGGGCATTTACATACATTGCAACACAATTCTTATGTATTTTCATATCCACACCTAAACTTTCATATTCAGCCATAACATTTTGGTGCTCATACCTATGCATTGAAAGGTGTATTTCACTTTTAAAAAGCATTTTTATGGCAAATGAATTTTTATTTAGGCGCATTTACATACATAGCACACAATTCTTATGTATTTTCATATCTGACATGTAATCTTTCATATTTACACATATATCACTCAAATCTTTAATTTCATATAAAAATAAAACTATTGCCACTTTTAAAAGTGAAATGCACCTTTTAATGCATAGGTTTAAAGCACCTATGTATGTAAATATGAAAGTTTAGGAGTGAGATACTTAATACATAAGAGTTGTGTGCTTCGTATGTAAATATTCCTTTTATTTATAGAATGCTTGCAAAATGAGGAGCCTTGGCAATACTTTTTATTGACGACATTGTTCTATTCAGTTAGATATTTGTTGAACTCTGTGAAAAGTTCGAGTATTGGAGGACATATTTAAAAGATAAATGACTTAGTATCAATAGAACAAAGATCAAATTTATTGAAGTCAAATTTAGTGGGTATAATATCTGTAATTACTAATCAATATTATTAGAAGATAAAGTAATATATATTCAATTTTTTTTTATTAAATAATGAAGATACAAGCTGGTTTATTAAAATTGGAAAGGGCCTTTGGGTTACTATTCATTAAAATGAAATTGTGGAGACTTAATAAATCTAATAAAAATTTGTTAGGTTGTTGATGTTGTATGGGACCAAGTGTCAAACATAAATCAACTTTTGATTTTCAATTGGATATTGAAATAAATGAATTTCTTAAGATGAGTGCTTGTGTGTGAAAATTAAAAAGATAAATTTAAGAATACTTTTATGAGAGGAACACATATAGTAACTTCTATTAAAATTAAATTGAAAGTAGAATTGCTAATATGGATATGTACAACTAATGATATAGATGCGTCCTTGACATCTAATGATAAAATTAGCCAGGAGTAGCAGAAATTTAAATGGCTAGATAACAATTTCTTAGATGTAGTGGCTTAATATTTTTGACAAGAATAAATTTAGCAACTCAGATAATTACACAGCTAATGATAATGATGAGTATTACTCCCACCTTGCTTTGCAGCTTCTATATCTGGCATTCATTACACCTATTGTTTACGACTTCTACAACTTCGACATTGAAAGACCAGAATTCGTTCAACTTTTCATCAAATTCACACAGGTGAAACTTCTTCACCTCCCCAAAAATTATGGTTCATGAGAATCTAAATTTTTCACAGGAGTTCTAGGGAGCGCCTAATCTGTTCCCTACTTTTGCAGAACTTGGCTCTCTTCGGTTCGCTGCTTTTCTTCCTGGGGATGAAGAATGCCACACCTAAACGCCAACCGAAGAAGAAGGTACCCAAAACAAAAACTGGCTAGAACCATCGTTAGTCTAGAGAGGGACTAAGTTAAAGAATTGGCAGTCTATGGAGTACTTTCTTTTTCTTATCAATATATTTATCTTCCAAAAACAAAAAAAAATGAAAATTACTTTTGTAAGGATGTTAGTCATGTGTTTAGGACAATTTGTTTGTTTCAGATAGCCCCTCTGTTGTTTTTTCTATTTTCTGCAGATACCTGAGGTTTTACTTGTGAGGCCCCCCCAATCTTTGTTATTTACTTATTTCGTTTGAAAATTTTAGCCGTTAGCTTTTATTTGAGAGCAAAATTATTACTTTCTGTATTATTCTTTAGCTGTTAGCTGCCTTTTTATTTTGTTCTCTACTTGTCTCTTGCCATTATATTGTATGTCTGTGGTATGCTTTGAATGGGGTTTTTATTGGTAGATAAAATTAGGGAAAAAGAGGGGGCATTTACATACCTACCACATAGCAATTATGTATTTACATATCCGGCACCAAAACTTTCATATTTACATGCATGTAGCTTTCAAATCCTTAATATCACACCAAAAATAACAACACTTGCATTTTAAGAGTGAAAGTACACACTTTTTCTTGCATTGATTTATGACAGCAAGTGTTATGAGTGTAAATATAGAAGTTCAGGTTTTAGATATGTAAATGCAGGAGTATTGTGTGGTTTGTATGTAAATTTCCCTACAAGTAAGATAGAAACACAAATTAGTTTCAAGTTCTTTTGATTATTTTACCAATAGTTTTTATCAAAAAGATCTATTTGCAGATAAATCTTTATCTAACTTTGACTTTGCATGCACATTTCTGTTGATGAATTGTCTGTCATACATAATAGCATTGTATTTATGCATCTGAAAGTAAAAAAAGATGGTATTTACATATCTGACACCTAAACTTTGATTTTTATATTTATTACTTTGCCCATGCTTGGAAAAGATGTTGTATTTTTTAAAAATTAGAACTAGCAAGTTTTTTTTTTTTTTTTTTAATATGATGTTAAGATTTGAGGGGTATAAATCTAAAAATAAAGTTTATGCGGCACTAACATGTTTGTAGGATTCATATTCATGGTATAACATTTACTGATACTTCATCATTTGTGCCAATATTTGGACTTGTTTCTGGGGATATATTTGTAACTATTAAATTTCCCCTTTTTGGTGGAATCGCTTTTAATTTTATTTTGTTTATTTTTATTTGAAATAAAATATTTTTAATTACATACGAAATTACATCAGGACTCCGAACATAGCTACATTCGGATTGCGATAGTTAGGAATATCTCGTTGTGTAATAAGAATATTTCATTTGTGTTATTTGTAAAAAAAATGAAGTTTTATTCGATTATTTTGAGGTGTTATTAGAATATTTTATCGTATTATTTGATTTGGGGCCGTGTTATTTGACATATTCCCCGTATTATTTTAATTTTTATTATGTTATTGGAATGATATAACCCCAAATCAAGTAACACGGTGTAATATTTTAATAACACCAGCCTCAAATCAAGTAATGTGGGGGAATATTTCAATAACACCGTAAAATACTAAAATAACACTTTATTTTTTACAAATAACGCAGATGAAATATTCATGTAACACCACGAGATTCATAACTATCGCAATTCGAACGGTAGCTCTACGTTCGGAGTTTTTGATGTAAAATTTTTTCATTACATACAAATCACGTGGAACATTGTTATTTACAAATAAAACACTGTCTTTCATATATTTTATCGTATTACCTGATTTGAGGCTGTGTTATTCGACATATTTTCCGTATTATTTCAATTTTTATTATGTTATTGGAATAATGCAACCCCAAATCAAGTAATGCGGTGGATTATTTCAATAACACTTCAGCCTCAAATCAAGTAACGTGGGGGGATATTTCAATAACACCTCAAAATACTATAATAACACTTTATTTTTTACAAATAACGCAGATAAAATATTCATGTATCACCGTGAGATACTCCTAACTATCGCAATCCGAACGGTAGCTCTACGTTTGGAGTCCTGATGTAATATTTTTTCATTACATACATATCACCTGGAACATTGTTATTTACAAATAAAGCACCGTCTTTCATCTATTTTACAAATTTTGCCCTCAAACATCATAATTCACGGTAAATCCTATACCCATATTTTTCATTTTTATCAAATTTTCAAAGAGTTGATCATGGCACGGACCGAACGTTTGATTCGTAAATATCAGTGTTTCGGGTCCTTTATTTTTAGTCATCCCTAAAATAAAATTTTATTTATATTTGAAAATGTGCATCTACGCTGTTAGAAGTTAAGAAAGGTGATATTTTTCCTGTGATATGAAATGTGTGCATGGTAAAAATATAAATACTAAAAGTTAGGTGTTAGATATGTAAATATGTAAGGTATGTATGTAAATGGTGTGCCCTAACTAAACGACTTCCTGATTGGAGAAAATATTATCAGGACTCCGGATCATTCGGAGTATAATAAGGAGACATCACGTGTAAAGTGAACTCATCACAATACACTGTGATTGGTCCATTTTATACATATCGCTCCCCTATAGGACTGATTGCATCCGGAGTCCTGACCTAATATTTCCTCTTCTGATCGAGGTGTTCAACTTGATGAAAGTATGCATACGAGTTCTGTGTATAAGGTGTCGGCCTCCGACATGGAGGAACAAATGTCTATTTTGAGTGAATTTAAGCTGGTTTTTTTAATGAATTTTTTAAAAAATAAATGATATTTTATCAGATCAACGTTTACAGTGCCAGTATTTATGCCTTACACAATCAATCAATTGAGAAATTAATAAAAATAAATGATAGGGGTTGGTGTTTTGTCTTGAAAAATGGAAGAAAGAGGGTGCTAGATTTGTAAATAGCAATGTTTCGGGTGCAATATCCCATTGAAAATAGCAGTTATTAACATCGGATTTGATTTATTATAAATCTTAATCTCCGGACTATTATAAGAGTGGGAATGACTACTAATCTTGAGAATGTGGTGTCAAACTGCAAAAATGTAATATGGTTTTTGTGGCCAAGAAAATGTATGGAGGTTGTATGTTTGATCACGTCAAACTTTGGGAATTGAATGTTTAAGGTAGATTGTTATGTGATACAACTTATCATTGATTGCATTCCTTAAAGGCATTAATTTATGTGCATGAGAAATATAGATCATAGTGTTGAATTCAGATTTATCCTGTGAGACATGTCTAAGAGTCAGAGCGGTAGAAACTTTGAGGAAGAGGTAGAGAGAAACAAAAAGGAAGAAAGAGAGAGAGATACAGACTTGCCTGTAGGGGCGAACTGAGGTATTATCGGACTCTGTGACTCATTTTATATATTGTAACTCAGGGGTTACAAGAGAGAAGAGAAGTGAGATCTCCCTATAGAGTGGGTCTAAAGAGAAGATCATAAAAAAGACCAAATCTTAGAGAAGCAAAAACCTCTAATACATGTTATGGTCCCCCAATTTATAGAAGATAGAGGGACAAAGTGTAAAATTACATGCTTGCTCATGCTTTAATAGGGGTGTTACAGATTACTAGTCATTTGACACGCCTTTTTGTGTTTATAACCGCTTTTAGCACCTTTTCGGACGGATATTAGTCGACTTCCCTAACTTCACTCTGGGAAGTCGACCGATTTTATGTCTGGACATCGCTCGGCCTTTGCCCTGGGAAGCTGGTCGGTTTTGAGTATGGTAGCCGGTAGGCTTGCTTGTTCCTTGGTGATATTTGGAGGATTTGTTTAGATCTTTGGATATCTTTTGGGGAGTTGTAGAGAGAGCCTCATGTTGATACTTGTAAGATTGTTGGGGGAACTACAAATTTGATCTGTCGTCGACATGAATGTCTGTTTCTAGTCAGCCCGACGACCCTTTTAGTCGTTTGACCTTTGGTCGGCCAGTAGCCCTTTAATCAGCTGTCTGTCAGTTGGCTGGGTGGTCTTTAGCAGGTCGGCTTAATGACAACTTGTACCTTTTCGTATGTGATATGGATCATGAGATTGTCTTGAGATTAGTGCAGATCATTTTTAGGTGTACATATTATGATCCTTAATTTTCTTGCTCTTTAATAATGACAACTGTGATAAGTACTAGCAAAATTTTTAATAAAATAAATCAAATCTTAATATTCAAAATTTAATGCAATGATTAGACTCCCTGGATATCCTTGCTCATGGGCTTAGGGGGTTATTCTTTTATGACATTGAATCCAGATTTGTTCTGTGAAGCATGCCCAAAGATCGAAGTAGTAGAAACCATTAGGGAAAGGGAGAGGCAGAGAGAATGAGAGATCGCACAAACTTGTCTCGTAGGAGTGAACTACGGTAATCCTTAGTTACATGACCCATTTTATGTAATGTAACTGGAGGGTTACATGAGAGAAGAAAAGAGATATCTCTTTATAGAGTGGGTTTAGAGAGAAGAGCCTAAAGCGACCAAAGCCTATAGAAGAAAAAACCTTTAATACATGTTATGATCTCCCCATTTATAGAAGATAGAGAGACAAAGCGTAAAATTACATGCTTGCCCCTTCTTTAATAGGGGTGTTACATGTTATTATTATCTTTTTATCCTCATTTTCATATTTAAAACATTTTTTAGCACCTTTTCTTATGGACATCGATCAACCCTTGCTCAGGAAAGTTAGTCAATTTTATGTCTGGACCCAGTTAACCTTCGCCCTGAGAAGCCTGTCGGTTTTGAGTATGGTAGCCAGTCAGCCTTGTGACGACCGATAAACTTGCCTATTCCTTGGTGATCTTTGAAGATATTTTGAGATCTTTAGAAGACTTGTTGAGAGAGCATCGCGTTGAAATTTGTGAAATTTTTTGGGGTACTAGACCTTTGGTCGGTCGTTGATGTGGATGCTTATTTCTGGTCTACTTCGGTGTCCATTTCTTTGTCAAACCTTTGATCGGTTGGTAGCCCTTTAGTCTGCTAGCTTTCAGTTGGCTAAGTGGTTTTCACCTCATCACCGTAATAAAAAATTCTAGCTTTTCGTCTGAGATCTGAACCTTTAAATTATCTTGAGATTTGTGCATACCCTTTTTGGGTAATAATCATAATTAATTGTAATTGTGAGGTGCTTCA